ACTCCGCGGTGTCGCAGCTGATCCCCGGCTCCGAGGTGCGGGTCACACTGGACCACATCATCGAGGACGCTCTTGTCGTGTCGTTCCGCCTCGGGGAGAAGCTCTTCTCCGGGGTCCTCATGGATTTGTCCAAAAGGTACCGCGCGCGCCGCCCGCACGCCCCCGGGCACCCCGCCCGCGGGATCCCCCGGGAGGGAGCGAGTCCGCGCGGCCACTTCACCCCGTCGCCCCTAGTCCCATGCACCTGGCTGGGGCGGGCCTGGGCTCAGGTGGGCGCCCGCGAGGGCAGGTGTTCGCCGAGTGCGAGCCGCTGAGACCGAACTCTCCAGGGGCCCCACGGGCTCCTCGCGACCCCGCCTGGGCTCAATCACCCTTGGGCGGGTCGAAGGCAAAAGGCAGGAGAATTTTGCAGGGAACGGGGTGCTGGGCGGGGGAGATTGTCCTCAAATAAACATTTTAACTTGAAAGAGCCTGGCGAGAAAGGGGTGTGAACGTTGGGGTTCCAAATGGTTATCTGTCACTCCTTAGAGAAGGAAGAGCAGTTATTTAAAATAAGCCTATGACTGTACACTTACGGTTAGAACTAATTTCCTCTAAGTAACTGTTCAAGTAGGGAGGCACATTTGGCTGCTTACTAAGTGCTAGTTCTGAGGGGTCGGGTTTTGTTTTTAACTTAAGTATCAAGATAGTGTGTATTAAAAGTGTTGCAATGCTGACTTTAGTTACTGTAGCTACAGTTTAAATTGATCTATGAAGGACAGAGGTTGACTTCTCCCACCAAATCTCTCTGCTAGCCCATGAATGTTTATGGGCACTGCTTAATTTAAACGGGCAAAGGTGGTCATCTCTTTTAAGTCTAGAGTTAGGTTAACCTTTTATTCTCTTCTTTTGCAGATATGAAGTGCAGAGGCTCCCATTCACGGTTCTCTCTTCTGTTTCCTGCAACAGCACACACTCTGATGGTATCTCACCTGTTTGGAAATGGGTTGTCTTAGTTTGTTTTAACTCCTCCCCATCCCCATCAATGGGGACACACGAAGCCCTTCCCATTTGGGGAACAAACTATTTAAAATTCATACCGAAGTATGGTGCTAGGGGTGAAAGATAGGAGCATTTACAGTAACTTCTGTACAGAAAAAATTCAAGTTTTTTTAAAAGGAATTTTTGTTAGGATTTCTGCACTTTTGATAGCTAGAAAGCAGAATAAGACCAGTGTGCTTTCTACTCATGTTTATTAGTGAAAGAAAGACTCAGTTGTGTGTATGCTATTGAACCAAACAGAAGTGAAGGCTGGTGATTGTGAGAATCTGGATTTCAAATCTGCAAAAGGAAGGTGCAAAACGGTAAGTTGTTTCTAGAAATGGAATAATGCTTTCCTGTTTTGGATTACTTGTTGTGTTGGTGTTAATATTTTATTTAAAAAATTTCTTTTTTAAAACACATATTTTGCATCATTCTTCCTTTTTCTGCAATGTATGCTTTCTCCTCAGGTGTGGTCCCTGAACAGTTCCCACCATCAGTTCACCTGTGTACCATCGCCATAGTCCCTCGTGCTTTTCCCTCCCTATTTTTTTTTTTAAAGATTTATTTATTTAAAGACTTATTCATGCATACAGAACTGGGATACAGGCCAGAGGAGTGAGGTGGTGAGAAGATTCACAAGAGAGATAGTAGGGAGCAGAACAGGCAGACTGACAAAGTAGTACACTGCTGAGGGGAGCAGCGGGCAAAACGAGAGGTCTGCCACACCATGTGGGTCACCTGGCTGGGGATTGGACTCCTGCGGAAGCTTCCCAGTGCTGTGCCCTAACCCATTGCATCACCAGGGAGGGCCCATTTTACTAACTTCTTAGTAACAGGAATTTCTTATATTCAGAGAAATTAGTCTTATGAACTTTATACACTTAGATAGTTTGAAGTGAAAATATCCTGCCATTTGAAGTATTTTTAAAAATTAAGGAAAACATCTATTTCATTCAAGACATGTTGAACATATCTGTGTATAAGGTACCTTTTAGGTATTTTGAATATGAGACTGCTCTTACCTTCTAGAAACTAATGGGAAGCACCTATTGTGGAAGTGAAATAAAGCAGTTAAAATTGAGCACTTCAAGGGATTATTATTGGACTAATAAGTTCTTGTTGGGTGTCCTTTTCATAATTTAAAAAAAGATTTATGTATGCATATAAGAATTGGGGTATAGGCCAGAGGTGTGGGGGTAAAGGGATTTGCCAGAGACAGAATAAGGAGCAGAACAGGTGGATTAACTGAAATACACTGCTAATGGTAACAGCCAGTGATGCAGGAGAGGCCTGCTGTGCCATATGGATCAGCTCCCTGGCCAGGCATGAACTCATGGCTGCCAGTAGCTTAATAGTGCTGAGATTTAACCCCTTGAGCCACCAGGGAGGCTCCCTCATAATTTCTTTTTTAGGAGTTACTTTATTTATGCATACAAGAGCTGGGGTGTAGGCCATAGGTGGGGCAGGGGTGAGAGGATTCAACCAAAGACAGAGTGGGGAGTAAAACAGACTATTCTACTGAAATACATTGCTAAGGGGAACAGCAGGTGAAGATAGGAGAGGTGCTATGAGGTTTAGCTCCCTGGCCAGGCATTTGAACTCATGCTGCTTGATGACTTCATAGTGCTGACACTTAAATCCTTGGACCACGAGGGAGACCCAGAACCCTCCTTTTTTGTAATTTAACATAATTTGGAAAATGAATCTGCCAGTATATTTTGTAACCTGCTTTTACCTTGATTGCTTTCATGAAGTTTTGGGGTGAACTGATGATTCCGTAGGTACTCCAGTTAGTGACTCTATACTTGATTATAATCTTCAGTTCTTTAGAAAGTTTGTATCCGGTTGGAATCTTTAGGTAAAAATCAGTGTCTACTGAGTTCCTGTTATGTTAGTATTGTACTACTTGCTCTGTAGTCTTTAAAACTCTTGCCTAGTCAACCTATAAGTGGCAAAGTTAGGATTCAAATATAGGTTGATCTGATTCCAAACCTTTGTATTTTCTAGTTCCATAGTAGGAAGTTAGTTGGACTGACAAATTTTCTTTTAATCTGAAATAATTAGAAGTGAAGAATTTCTGAAATTTAATCCTTCTATATATTTCAGTTGGGTGTATGGGGTAATACAGAGGAACTGTATGGTGAGACATGCCAATTCTTTAGTCAGCTAATAGCCATGGCCTCTTCTCTGCGAATCCCCATTTCCTTAGCTGTATATTGAGAAACACATGATTGGTTCTGAAGTCTTGGTTCAGAGAGGTGAAGTAGTTAGAAAGGTGAAGTAGTTAGGAGAGCTAGGCTAAGTACATCAGTGTGTGTGCTTTTTCTTTTAAAGGGCCAGTTTTTTATTTCTTTGATTCTGACACGTAAAGTCTGACAGAAAAATCTTCAAATTGGAAGAGTTGTCCACCAGGTGGAAAGGTGTTTGATACTAGGGTATAGGACTATTATGTGTGGATTGATTGATGAAGAACCTGCTTTTGTAAGCATTTGACATTCTTGTATTTTTTGCCTTACTTTTAGTTATTTGAAGATCACCTTTTTGTAGAAAAAAATTAATAGGATAACATTTAAAAGAATAAAGGACAGTATTAAATAGTAGGTTGATGTGGTTGGTGTCAGGGTTTGGGTTCTGACTTATAAAACCAGCCTCTAGGTTACAAATGTGACTTTGGACATACTTATTTGGACTGTCTACAGTCTCTAGTTCTTAAGGGGCAATTTTGACTTTTAGCCACTTGATTTAAAATGTGGAAACAAACTTTATACCTCAGTTTTTATATTTGGATAATGAGTGGGATGACTGGGTGGCCTGCTTTTCCTGTTTCATCTAGATTTGATTGTGACTCTTTTTTCAAAGAATCTTGATTTGGGTGGTAAATGATAGTCACAGTGCATACCTTCCTTGAAATGCTAAGAAAGTCAAGGATGTATTCTCTAGTTTTATGCTAAAGTCTTCCATTGTTTTATACCCAGCCCTTTTGGCTAGTTTAAATTACCTTTGTACTCCTGAACTCATTAGTAATGTCTAAAACACACTAATATGTACTCCATGATTTAAGAAAGTCAACTAACCCACAAATTGATTGGTTTTTTTATCTCCTTTTTTATGGTTTTGAAATTTTGATGTAGGTCTGTTTGTTTTTCCCTTTAGCCTATGGTAAACATTCCTTCTGGTTGCTGAACTATCATTAACATGATTGTTTTAGACTGAATAATGTAAATATAGTATCCTATTTTTTGTTAAATATTATGAGAAATGAGTCTTCCTTTATGCATTATTCCTGCTTTGCCATCATCATGTTATTATTACTTATTATTTTAAAGATTTTATTTACTTATTCATATGGAACTGGGGTACAGGCCAGAGATGCAGAGGGTGAGAGGATTCACTAGAGACAGAGTGGGGAGCAGAACAGGCAGATCGACAAAGTACACTGCTGAGGGGAGCAGTGGGTGGGTCAGGAGAGGTCTGCCTCGCCATGTGGACTTCTCCGGGGCAGGCGAGAATCGAACTCATGTGGAAGTGGCTTAAGCTTAGTAGTGCAGTGCTTTAACCCGCTGCGTCACCAGGGAGGGCCATCATCATCAGTTACTAGCCAAACTTCCATATCCACTACATTTCTTCTGAAGCAACCTTAAATATTTTGCTATAGATCTCTAAAAAGATAAGGACTTAAAAAAACCTCACTTATCCTAAAGAACACTGTATCAGCACAATTTCTATGCTGGCAAAATGCAGCTTTCCTGCCTGCCTGTGACTATGCAGGTGTTTCATTTTACAAACCTTTTTCTCTTTGCAAAGCAGCAACAGCTCTTTGCCCACCTGTGTCTGTTCAGGTGCATCTCTTTTTCTTTCTAATAAACCTGTCAATGTAAAAAAAAAGCTACTACTACTACTACTACATTTAAAACAAGTCATTTATATCATCGGATGTGAAAATGTCACAGATTGTTTCAAAATTGACATCTCAATTATAACATTTACCTTTTGTTCCTATTAGGACCCAAGTTCTACATTGCAGTAAGTTGAGTTTTTTTCCTCTGTAGGTCTCTTGCTATTATTTTTATTCCCTTGTGGTTTATTTTGTTAAGTCATAGAATGGTAGAATTT